AAAGTTTTACATAAAGAGGAAAGTTATATGAATCAAAATGCCAATCTTGTGATTCTAGTTGTAATGAATGTATAGATGGATCACCCTCGGGATGTACTAGGTGTTATTCTGGCTACTTTTTAAGTATTTCTGACATAAAAGTTTCCTTTGGAAATTGCATGTAAAAGACTATATAATCATTAAACTTGGACATATATTTGAAGCCTCCCTAAACTAATGTTTGGGATTCTTAGTCTTAAGGAGGAACAAGAGAAAACCCATTTAATGATTTTTAGGATACTTTAACAAGAATGTATGATATTTGTGCGTAGGTTTTACAAACATGCAATGTTAACTTGTATCTTACCAAAGGTGTGCATTATATTTTAAGGTCTAATATAAAGTCTTTTAGGGCCTTAAAAGTTGATACATATTCACAAAACATCAAACTTAATATCTAACCATTATACTGCTAGGATAGTTCAGATTGTTTTAGAGATACTAATGAAAAAGCCATAATAAAAAGTAAAATTGGAGATAGACTGACTATATAAGTTGGATAAGGTTTAACTTTGAAGAATATAATAATAGATAGTCTTGATTCTATGATTGGTAATAACCATTCGCCTTTAATTAATTTTTCCAGATTTTACCTCAGATGATTCTTGTTTGAGAAATTTAGAAGACTGCTGCATGATTGATCCTTTGACACTTTAGATAAAAGATGTTGATCCAAGCACAAATATCTGCCAAGATAAAAAACCTTACTAGTATGTTGTTTTTTTAAAAAAATAAACTTATTTTATAGGACTGAAGAATGTAACATTCCTATCGGAAGTTATATATTTAAATTTGATATATCAGCTACAACTGTACTTTTGACACCACCTACTCTAAAATTTGATGTAATCATAATTATTGAATGTTACAATAAATTAAAGGGATGTGAATTTAAGAATTTTATATTTGAGTTCAACTCATTTATAGAAACTAATCCCTATGGAGGCCATATCGAAATTATTAATTCAGTTTTTGATAGATTTACATCTTGCGGAGCCATCGTGAGAAATTTCAGGAA